TCCCGGTGACGGGCTGATACAGATCAGTAGCTGCTCTGATCTCGACACCTGAACAAGGAAAGAAAACATCTGAACGTTTTCTCGTATATGAAATCATCTATAATCTCCTCTATTGTTAATTACTGTTTACAAAACTGTGTGATAAGAACGGGGTGTGAGCACACGTCCGTGTACGTCTCCTTACAAAGAAAGAGTGGCAGGAGTCACAGAGGCTGAGGCTCAGCAGGAAGTGAGGCAGCTTTCATTTCACCTTCTCTTTCATCTCCTCGCCCCTCCCTCTCCGATCCTGCTGCAGTGCTCTACTTTCAAAACCTTTTTTAACTCCAAATTAAACCAGTGTAGCCTAAAAATAGCCCAGTGGAAAGCAGTGTGTCTCATATTCTAGAATTTGTCCTTCTGATGACTAATGACCTCTGTTAATAGACTGCTCTAACTCTTAATCCATCCCAATGAGCGCACACACTGTGTGTGAACACTGTGTGTGAACACAGTGTGTGAACAGTGGGGTTATGATGTTGCCTGGTTTGTTGGTCAGTGTGAAGCTTCAAAACCTGCAATAATGTCTCCTCCTGACAGAGACAAGTACAGAGCCTCGCAGAGCACATCGTTTCATGCTGCAGCTACAGTTTAACTTATCCTTACACCCATACCTGTGAATATACCATGGATCAGGCCCAGTGTAGACGTATTTACACACCACACAAATACACAGCTTAACCAAGGCAACGGGCTAATACCACCAAGCTTGAAGCTAGCTTACATGAATATGAAAAAAGAGACATCATGGAGCAAAGATTTTGAGTAATGTGAAGACATTCAAAGGTTTGTCAAACCTGCACAAGTTAAAAATGTATCAACTTTTCACAAAATTGTATCCTGTGAGTCCATCTGCTGATTCTGGCAGCTTCATGATTCATCTTTGCTGGTATATGAAGTAGTGGGCCTGGAGAAATGTTCTGAAACTAACTCGAGTCCAGTTTCCTGATGGCAGTCAAAACTGAATGAATGATGTAAGCAAACGTCCAAAGCTTTTGTTCTGTCAGATCTGAGTGCTGACTCTATACTCGTGGTTTTACATACGCTGCATCATAGTCTCCCACACAAGTCTCAATCAGACACAGCAGGTGACTGTGCCACAGCACAGAGCAGCTTTTGTATCAGGAACACTGCAGGGCACAAAGCCAGAAACTTCTCTGAGGCTGTCAGCTGAACACTATTAAAATGGGTGTGTCAGCTGCTTGCTGCCTTCCTCCCCCAACAGTCACACTTCATGGAGGAAAACAAAGAAAACTTCTTAAGTTTGTAACACAGAAGTGATCCTGCAATGTGAACAATACTGAAAGTCCTCATGACACCATCAAAGAGTCAGGCTGGCAACAGCTTCCATGAAACCCAATACTTGGTACTTTTCCAGCCAGATGTCCATTGGATGTTCCTGCTGAACTCCTAAATCTCATATCCCCTTCATCAGACTTTTCAAACTGAATCTACACTTAACAGATGAATCTGTATTTGGTGCTCTAGTAATAAATGTGGGGCAGCGGGACAGCATCTGTCCTGTGGTTTATATGACTCGGCTGTTTTGATGCTGGACTGATAAGCATGCTCACACTATGTACCTAAGCTCGCTCCTGTCCACTGTGTTTGTGATGCTGAAGCATTTTAGGAGCATTTAATGATCACATGAAGTAAAGTTGTACTCTGCTGT